GAGTCAGAGGTGCTGCGGGAAGCTGCCCGGGGCTGGAAGGAGGGCAGGAGCATCTTCGAGAAGGAGTCAAGCGGCAAGCCAGTGGCACGGAGCAAGACCATGCCTCCCCAGGTCCCCCCGCGGACGTACGTCTCCCACTTCGGCAACCGGAAGAATCTGGCACAGAACAAGAACCGCAGGATCTCCGTTGACCCGGTAAGATGGAAGTGCGGCTGGGATGGAGCTGAGGTGCTGGGGGCAGCTGGAAGCGGGGGTGGGAACAGACCATGGGTGCTTGCAGCTTTGCTGCGTTTCCCTTGCTCCGGGTTGGTTTTATTTGTCCCGTCGCTGGGGCTCCTCGGAGTCTTGTTTGTGCATCACGGTCAGGCACACGTGTGCTGAGACACCGTCCCTGGGGGTTAATGGGATCATTCCAGATTGCACAGCTCCCCAAGCGGTGTGGGATTGTGCAGCCACGGTCAAAACCCTCTGGGGTGGGTGAACCAGGTCTGGGAAGCTGATCAGAAGCATGGAATCACAGAATCACGGAATGGTTTGGGTGGGAAGGGACCTTACAGCCCACCCAGTCCCACCCCCTGCCATGGGCAGGGACACCTTCCACTAGACCAGGTTGCTCCAAGCCTCATCCAGCCTGGCCTTGGGCACTTCCAGGGATGGGGCATCCACAGCTTCTCTGGGCAACCTGTCCCAGTGTTCCCCACCCTCTGCGGGAAGAACTCCTTCCTGATACGAATTTTTTCCTTGCCTTGAGAAGGGCAAGTCCCACCCGGCCATCATCCCACTGCCACTGAGCAGACAGGATGCTCCATGCGCCGCCATCCCGAGTGCTGCCTCCTCTGTGCACCTTCGTGCCCAGGCACTGCTGGACCCTGGGACTGCCCAGACCCCGCAGCCGAGGCCCGGTGCCTGCAGGAGGGCACGGGCAGTGCCCGGTGCTCGGCTGGCATGACACACGGGCACCCTGGAGCTGCTGCACTGGGGGTGCCAGCATGTCCCGTCTCCACGGGCTGCGCTTGCAGGCGGTTCGCAGTTGGCTCATGTCCTGCCAGCTCATGAAATGTCACAGGATCCTCCGGAAAGAGCCGGCAGTCTCCTCCCGGGAGCCGGGCGATGGCTTTCCTGTTGGGCTCCCAATGTCTTTTCCAATCCCAGCTCCCTTATTCCCTCTGTTGAGCAGGGAGCAGGACACCTCCCCTTTGTGCACAGGCGCACTGGGGTGTCTTGCACTGCCGGCGTCTCTCCCAGGGCTGCCACTTCCCCCGTCCCCAGTGAGGTGCCCCCTCTAGGGCCAGACCCCCAGTTCTGGTGCGGCTCATCCCATCTCTGGCAAGAGGAGGAGATAAAAAACCAGAGAAGCCATCTTCCTGGTGGGGTCCGCTCTCCCCAGGGAGCGAGGGATGCAGCCGGGGACCGCCAGCAGGTGCTGTGTAAGTCACTCTTGGCTTTCTCCTTGCCAGACACTAATTAAAAAAGCGCATTAAAGTTGTCTTTAGCGGCTGCCATGTTCTCTGCCTTTCTCTGCCTCCCGTTAGCTGTTGGCTGGGTTAATTGCTCTGACAGTGGGGCCATTGTTTGCTGGGAAAGAGCGATGGAGGCCCAGGGACCCCCACACGCAGGGGGGAGCCTGGCACAGTGGTGCTGCCTGCCCCAGCACTGTGGCAGGAGAGCGGTGTGTGGTGCAGGGCCCCCACTGCAGCATCCGGGTGACATGGGGACAGCCCTTGCCCATCCTGTGGCATCCTCGGGCCCATCCCATGGCATCCTCAGGTCCATCCCTGCTCATCTCTTGGCTCCCTGGGGAATCTCTCTGCTGGGGCTTTTGGAAACAGGGTGGAAGTGGCCAGTTTGGGGCTGGGGGAGACCTTAGGTCTCCCTTCTCCCAGCCATGGGGAAGGTGCAGGTGTGGGTGATGCACCCCGTGGCTCGTGCGTGCCTGGCCCAAACCCCTCTTGTGCTGGACCACATCCCTCCACCACGCTGCAGCAACACCAGGGCGAGTGACAGTTCCTGTGCCCGGTGCTCTAACAGGGGGATCTGGCAGACCCCGTCCTGGGTGGGCGGCAGGCTGGATCTCCCCCCTCCGGGGGACCCTGCAGCCAGCTGATGGGCTTGTGCTCTGTCCGGTAGGTTGCCCCCCGGCCTCACTCCTTCTCCAATGGCTACGAGCTCTTTGAAGTCTCCGAGGAGCGGGATGAGGAGGTGGCTGCTTTCTGCCACATGCTGGACGTGTGAGTACCCATCTGCATCCCATGGCAAAATGCCCCAAAACAGGCATTTGTGGGGGGAGTGGGGCAAAACCCAAAGCAGGGCAGCATCTCCGACCTGTCCCTGCTTCCACAGGCTGCGATCCGGCTACAGCACCAAGGACTATTCCCTCACCGGCTTGGTATGGAGTGCCGTCAACCTCAGCCCCGAGCAGCTGGGCCACGGCGTCAGCCTGAAGGTGACCGTGGTGTGCGACAGCCTGCGGGAGCCCCTCACCTTCACCTGCGACTGTAAGTGCCCCGCGCAGCCGCTCGCCCCTTTCCCCGTGCAGCAATCGAGAGGGGGGACCCAGCAATCCCGAGGTGAAGGCACTGGGAGGGGGTCCCACCATCCCTGGGGCTCACGGTGCTGCTCCTTCCCCCTTGCAGGCTCCTCCACCGTGGACCTGCTCATCTACCAGGCACTGTGCTATACGCACGACGAGCTGCACGCCGTCGACGTCGAGGACTTTGTCCTCAAGATCTGCGGCTTGGAGGAGTTCCTGCAGAAGTGAGTGTCGTGGAGGAGGGAATGACACAACCCAGGCATCCCGGGGCTCACGTGCTCGGCCGTGCTCACCCTGTGCGTGACCGGGTGTGATGGATGGCTGGGGCTGATCCCGGCCATGGGATCTTCTCCGCTCGGTTTCCTCATCTCCTGAGCTGCAGTGATGCTCTTGCCAAAAGCAGCATGTTGGGAGCATCTTTTCCTAGTGGCAGGGTATCCATCACGCTGACCCCTGCATGCCTGGAGAAAGGCCTGAAAACCAGGGAGCTGCCAAAAACACTCTTTGGAAGAGTATTAATAACAGCCGTGTCACTGGGCGGAGCAGCAGAGCCTGGCTTCTCCCAGCCTGTTGCGGGAATTGCAGGAGAAGGTGGAAAAGGGATGTGTTGGGGAGCACAGGAGCAGTGAGGCTACAGAGCCAGGGATGGACGATAGGAACTGAGTCCTGCCCAGATCCTTCCAGCCCTTCCATGCCTTGATGCCTTTCCTGGAGAAAGGCTGCATTTCCAGAGGGGTTTTGGGGCCTGAGGGTCCGGGAGAGCTCCCTGTAGAGGGGGATGCAGCAGCGGCAGGCACACGCCGTCCTTCCTGGCGGCGGAGTGCAGTGAGCCAGCTCCTGCTGCTGGAGAGCTTCCCTGGGCCTGGCCCTGCCACGGGAAATCTGCGGGAGCTTTGCCATGGCCTCTGGGAGCTGCCGGTTTAGGCCCTAAAGGGACGGCTGGGAATTGCTCAGCTGGGGAGAGCCTGCGTAGCACCCATGCAGAGGGTGCCTCTGCTCCTGGCTGCCCGGCACGGCTGCCTGAAGGGAATATTCCCATCAGAGCTGAGCCCTCCTGCTGCCAAGCAGCCCAGTGCACATGGATGCATGGATGCATGTGCACAGGCTGTTCTCATATACAGCAGCATTCCCGTGCATCTCACCTAGCCAGTAACCCTCTGCTGTGGGTGGCTCAGGGCTGCCAGGGAGCTGTAGGATGGATCCGGCCAGCTTGGAGGACATTTCCCAATGGGATAAACCTCCTGCTTTTTTGGCAGGGAATGGCATCCTGGGCACAGAGCGGGACAGCCCGTCCCCGGCAAGCGTTTCCCTGGGAGCCGGAGCAGGCAGGCACTGCCGTATCTCCCAGGGCCCTCAAAGGACCTTTGAGAAAGCCCTGGGACATAAAGCCCTTTTGTCACCAATCTTTTCTTTCCACATCTTCCCCCGGCAGAGGAGATGTTGGAAGTGCCAAAACCCTCTGTGCAGAGCTGTTTGGGCCCTTGAGCTCTGCAAACCAGCCTGGACCACCCGTTTGCTTTTGCACGGTGTGGGGGGAAGGCAGGACCAGGCAGGGGGGCACAGGATGCCCCATGGGTGCACCGCTGCCCGTGCAGCTGGCTGCAGGCAAGGCTTCCTGCAACACCTTCCCCACAGCCCTCCTGGGCCATGGGGCAGGAGGTGGCACCAGTGGCCACGTGCCCGTTGGACTTTGTGTCCCTGTCCCCTGCAGCCCCAGGAGCCCCTCGGCACCGTGCCTGTGGCTCTGCTGTGCCGGCCAGGGCTGAATCAGCTCATTCTCTCCCACAGCCGGCAAAGAAAGGGGGTCTGGGTGGCGGGGGAGGGTCTGCTGGATTGCAAGCTCTGCCGATCCCACTCAGAGGGGCCACCTGTGACAGTGGGCACGGTGGCACCAGGCTGTCACCCCCCACTCTAAGGCTCATCCCCATCCCGCTGTTAGATGGAGCATCCTCCAGCTCCTGGGGTCCATGCCCTGCTTCCCACACATTGGTGGGCAGGTCCAGGCACAACGGGCTCCTCCTCACTCGCTTCCGACTCTGTCACACTGGCTGGGCCGGGCATGGCTTTTGGGAGGGCACAGGGGAGGGAGGGAAAAGGAAGGAGGACAAGTGACCCGGTGCCATGAACATCCGTTTGCAGATGAGGCGGCCAGGCCTGAGCTCGAGCCAACGCTGCCTGGCCACAGGGCGTTGGGATGAGGCATCCCAGGTTGAATTCTGAGGATGGGATGGAGCAGGGCCACGGGCTCAGCGTGCGGTTTCTGTCCCCGCAGCAAGCACGCGCTGGGCAGCCATGAGTACATCCAGCACTGCAGGAAGTTCGACATCGACATCCGCCTGCAGCTGATGAGGAGGAAGGGGGTACGCAGCGATCTGGCCCGCACGGTGGGTACCCAGGGGGGCAGCGGGGGGATGCCCGTGCCACCTCCCTGCTGTGGGACCACCGGTGCTGGTGGCCAGGCTGTGGCACAGCTTCTCTCCATCTCCAGGAGAATGATGACCAGAGCCCTTCCACCCTCAACCACTACATCCACCTGCAGGAGAGACCCATCAAGCAGACCATCAGCAGGTAAGGGGGGACACAGTGGGACTGGGCCCCCACTTTGGGTGCCAAACTGGCCAGGGCTGAGCAATGCTCTCTGTCCCCTAGGCAGGCCCTGAGTCTCCTCTTCGACACCTTCCACAACGAGGTGGATGCTTTTTTGGCAGCCGAAGTGAGTACCAGGGATGGAGGGGGCATTTTGGGGGGCACCTTGTCTAATTTGCTGCAGGCTTTCCCCTCTTTTCATTATGGGTCTCTAAGGATGAAGCAGGGGAAAGGTGGGAAAGCAGGGGAAACTGAGGCACAGGCTGGTGCACCTCCCCATGTGTGGTGCAGGGGCTGTGGGGAGCAGTCCCTGCCCCCTCGGCTACCCCAGAGACCCGCCTCAGCCCCCCTCTGCCTTCCAGGGAGACTTCCCGCTGAAGGCGGAGCGGGTGATCCAGTCGGTCATGGCCATCTGCAATGCCCTGGCTGCCGTGGAGTCCCAGGAGATCACAGCAGCCCTCAACCAGATGCCCCCCTGCCCCTCTCGCATGCAGCCCAAAATCCAGAAGGTAGGTGGTGGGCACTGGGCGCTCGGCCGGGAGACGCAGAGGGGAAGCACATTTTCCCATCTGAACTTGTGTCCCTCCTTCCTCCCGCTGTACCACGTGGAAAATTCCTCAATAGCCAGGAGCAGGCAGCTGCCTGGCCGCGCTGCCTGCCCCCCAGCCAGGGAGCCCGGGCGGGTTACGTAAAGCTGGGCTGATTGAGCTGCTCCCCGCTGGCAGCGCGGTGCCGATTCTGATGTTGCTCTTGTGGTTTCTTGTGTTTTTTTCCTCAACAGGATCCAAATATTCTGGCCAAGAGGGAAAATCGAGGTATTTCTGTTCTCCTCCTCCCCTTCTGGGCTCAAGTTCCTGATGCTTTTAAGCCTCAAACCCCTCCCCCCTCAATTATTAAGGCCAAAAATGTGTTTGAAACCATTCTGGTTAAGCAAAGAGGGTTTCTGGAGGCTGTTGTTCCTCCCTGTGAACTCAGCAAAAGCCTGAAATTCTCCCTCCCACCCGCTTTGTCCTGGGGAGACCTGCCCACGATCCAGCCCCGGGGTCCCTCCAGCATCCCAACCCCAGCCCAGAGGGATGGCACGGGGGGCAGCAGGGCTGTCGGCCGCCCCGTCTCACCTCTCTCCCCTCCTTCAGAGAGGATCGTGGAGAGCCTGACAGCCGCCATCCTCAACCTGGTTGAGCTCTACCGCAGCACCTTCAATGCCGACT